CTCTGCCCACAGCCCCCGCGGAGAGGCTGGATGAGGAGGGTCCCCTGAGCCAGGAGCAGCTGGTTCCCTGGGAGAGCCACGGCGTGGCCGGGCCGAAGGCGGCCGGGGCAGGACTGGGGGAGTTCTCCCTGGGGGATTTCAAGCCGGTGGTGGTGCCGGTGGAGGCTCGCCCCGCCCCGGGGCTGCCCTTCCCCATGGAGCACGCGCTGGGCGCGGGGACGGAGCAGCCCTTCGCCCTTCCCCAGGGAATGCCGCTGGGAGAAGACCCCGGCGCCGAGGGGGCCTCGCCGCAGCCCGGCTGGGAGCAGCACGATCCCTGCGCCGCCGGGGACGATCCCAGGGCGCTCCCGCCGGGCTGGAAGAGCGTCCGGCTGACGCGCAACCTCCTGGCGCGGCAGCAGAGGAAGAGCAACGGCTCCTTCATCTGCTCGTCCTGCGGGAAGAGCCTGGCGCACCACGCGGCGCTGCTGCGGCACCAGCGCCTGCACACGGGCGAGAGGCCCTTCCAGTGCCCGGACTGCGGCAAGAGCTTCAACGAGAAGTCCAACCTCAACAAGCACTACCGGATCCACACCGGGGAGCGGCCGTACCGCTGCCCCTCCTGCGGGCAGGGCTTCGTGCAGAAGCACCACCTGCAGAAGCACCAGCGCATCCACGGGCCGCCGCGGGGCGCGTGGCCGGGCCGGCCGGCGCGGGCCAGCGCCGCCGGGGAGCGGCTCTACCGCTGCATCGAGTGCGCCGAGAGCTTCCCCCAGAAAGCGTCGCTGGAGGAGCACCAGCGCCGGCACACCCAGCAACGGCCCTTCCAGTGCCACGGCTGCACCAAGAGCTTCCGGCACCGGCAGTCGCTGAACCACCACCAGAAGGTGCACGCCGTGGCCGGCTCCCCGGCCGGCAGCTTGCCGGGACACAAGCGGGAGCTGGAGCCCTGCGAGGCTCTGGGCCAGGACAGTCGGTAGCCGCAGGGCTGGAGGAGGGAAGGCAGCTGGGGTCACAGCACCGAGGGACTTGTGGCACCGCCGGGGGCTCCAGGAGGAGGAGGAGGAAGGATGTGCTGCCTGGGCAGGGAAGGGCCCCCAGGGACTGGTCACGAGGCAGCAGAGGAGGGTCAGTGGCTGGAACCGAGCCAGGCGGTGCCGCTGCCCCGTGGATTCAGCAGAGGAGTGGCTGTGTTGGATCTCGGGGAATGGTGGAATTGAACACTGGGTTGTTTGAACACTGCCAGCCTGGACAGAGGTGGCCTGGGAGTGGTTGCTGGCCTGGGGAGGTTGATGATCTGGGAGTGGTCAGTGTCCCCAGGGTGGTTGGTGGCCCAGGTCAGTGGCCTGGATGCACTGCGGGGGGCTGGGCTGCAGTTGGAATCAGTGGATGAACCAGGAAGAGACTTGGATAAAAGACTCATGGTGTCTCCTGTTGTGCTCCAGGGGGTGGGCTCGGGGTGGGCTTGGGAGGTCAGAGAGGGATGGGGATCCTGGAAAGGGATGGGGGTCACCACCTTCCTTGGGGGGAGAAGGGGGGAGGAATGTGTAGCTGCCTGATGGGAATTTGGAATGGTCCCACAAGAATCCCCCACAGGATCCTCTGTAGGATCTGGGCACCACAGGACTCCCTGGCAGTGCTGAGGGACTGTCCCCTGCCCATGGCATCCCCCTGCCCATGGCAGCCAGGGCCACTCCATCCCCTGCCCTTCCCTGCTCCCCTCGGCCGCTCATCCTTCTGCCTGCAGAGGCTTCGTCCTTCCTGCCTGGGGTCCCAGGGGCTCCCTAGGGATGGAACTGCCAGCAGTGATTCCAAACCACCCCCGCCCCGGTCAGAGCTGTCCTGGCTGATCCCAGTTCCTCCAGCCCCGGCCATTCCCATGGGCACTGGCACAGCCCCCAGAACAGCCAGACATAGAGGCAAATACTTTATTAATTCCACATCCTGAGAAAGGGATTGGGAATGTCATAGGAAACGCTGGTCCTGGTCAAAACAGCTTTGGAAATGCCCGGTTGGGGCTGCTGGCCCGAGGAGGGGCCGGCACCTCTGCTGGCCAGGGGGGGATCACCCGCCGGCAGCACCAGCTCAGTCGTGGGATCCCCTGGGATCTCTACCCCCGCAGGATAACCAGCCACTGGCTCACTGCCAGATCCACAGTAATCCATATAGTAATCCATATGCAATCCATAAGGCAGCAACCGCCCCCGCATCCCATCGGGAACACGGAGTGACCCATCTGCCATCGTCACCCCTCCTGCTTCCCAGACGCAATCCCAGGGGCAGGAATTGTGACACACTGGCCTGGAGGAGCTGTGGGACATGGTGTGTGTCCCCGTGGAGCAGCTTGGACACTGCTGTCCCTCCCAGGGGGCAGGGAGGCAGTGGAGGGGCACACTTGGATGTGGCACAGTTCCCAAAGCTTCCCACAGCAGCGCCATCACACCTTGGGAATGACCAGGAATGAAAGATGGGAAAAGCCAACTGGGTCTCCCGGCCTCACCGCTTGGAGAGGGACAGAAACTTCAGGATGTCAAGTAACTACATTAAACAACTCAAGGAAAACAAAAAGAAGAACCTGGAAAACTAAATTCAAGAGTCCCAACAGCTTCTCCGTTGGGCCCACATGGCGATGGCACCGGGAGGGACGTGTTCCCTGTGCACCAACAGGGGCGAGCGTGGGGCTCTGGCCACGGACACAGTTCCAGTGGCTCCGGGGATGCCGGAGCGGTGCCAGGCCTGGCCTTCACCGGCTGCCTCCGGGCAGGTCTCCCTCCCCTCCGGCTGAGGTAGCTGCAGAACTGGTTTCCTATAGGATTCGTTACGGTGGGATTTGGGGCACAAGGAGATGAGCTGTGGTTGGGAGAGTGGGAGCAGGAGCTGGTGGCTGCCATGGTGGATCCACGAGGATCAGGTACTGCTGGGCAGCACAGGGCTGGCTGACCCATCAAGTATTCCCAAAATGACTGCATCCATGCAGGATGGTCCCAAGAGTGCCTGTGGACTCCCTGGAATATGCAAGATCAGAACAGTGGG